AATGGATGCAGCACTGGAAGTGCTCACTCATCTATGCCAAGAAACTTGGAAGACAGCTACCTGGCCAACCAGCTGGAAGAGATCCATATTTATGCCTACTCCCAAGAAAGGTGATCCAACTGAATGTGGAAATTATCAAACAATATCATTAATATCACACACAAGTAAAATTTTGCTGAAGATCATTCAAAAGTGACTGCAGCAGTATCTTGACAGGGAACTGCCAGAAATTCAGGCTGGATTCAGAAGGGGATGTGGAACCAGGGATATCATTGCTGATGTCAGATGGATCATAGCTGAAAGCATAGAATACCAGAAAGATGTTTACCTGTGTTTGATTGACTATGCAAAGGCATTCGATTGTGTGGATCATAATAAATTATGGGTAAAAATGCAAAGAATGGGAATTCCAGAACACTTAATTGTGCTCATGAGGAACCTGTACACAGATTAAGAGGCAGTTGTTGGGACAGAACAAGGGGATACTGCGTGGATTAAAGTAAGGAAAGATGTGCGTCAGGGTTGCATCTTTTCACCATGCCTATTCAATCTGTATGCTGAGTAAATAATCCAAGAAGCTGGACTATATGAAGAAGAATGGGACATTATGATTGGAGGAAGACTGATTAACAACCTGTGTTATGTAGATGACACAACCTTCCTTGCTGAAAGTGAAGAGGACTTGAAGCACTTACTGGTCAAGATCAAAGACCTCAGCCTTCAGTATGGATTACACCTCAACATAAATAAAACAATAATCCTCAGAACTGGACCAATAAGCAACATCATGATAAACAGAAAAAAGATTGAAGTTGTCAAGGATTTCACTTTACTTGGATCCACAATCAACACTCATGGAAGCAGCAGTCAGGAAATCAAAAGACACATTGCATTGGGAAAATCAGCTGCAAAAGTCCTCTTTCAAGTGTTAAAAAGCAAAGATGTCACCTTGAAGACTAAGGTGCACCTGACCGAAGCCATGGCGTTTTCAATCGCATCACATGCATGCGAAAGCTGGACAATGAATAAGGAAGACTGAGGAATAATTGACGCCTTTGAATTGTGGGGTTGGCAAAGAATATTAAATATACCACTGACTGCCAAAAGAACTAACAAATCTGTCTTGGAAGAAGTACAAGTAGAATGCTCCTTAGAGACTACATCTTACATACTTTGGACATGCTATCAGGAGGGTTCAGTCTCTGGAGAAGGACATCATGCTTGGTGAAGTAGAGGGTCAGCGAAAAAGAGGAACACCCTCAATGAGATGGATTGACACAGTGGCTTCCACAATGGGCTCAAGCGTAACAACCATTGTGACCATGGCACAGGACCAGGCAGTGTTTCCCTCTGTGGTGCATAGAGTTGCTATGTCAGAACCAATTCGATGGCACCTAACAACAACATGTCTCAAGAACTGAGACCTTTTCTTGTTTAATGCACTCGGCGTTTTATTCATTTGAAGGACACAGATGAATTTAATGCTCTGAGTCCCTTGCTTCATAAACTGTCTTGAAGATATGCCTGTCAAGTGGCCTAAATGTTAGCATCGGCTAGTCAAACAACTCTCTCCCTCAGCCAGAGGACAAAGGAAAAGAATGATGGCTCCACACCTCTGCTGTCTCAAAACTCCATGCATTCCATCTTCCTTCCCATTCTGTTGTGAAGATGTGCCCTTCCAAAACTCACATCCTGAGATGAATAGATTCGTTTTGGTTAAAGTGGGAAACAAGACATTTTCAATAATTATGTGCATACCAGCTCTTAGAATTGTTTATGCTGGCAGATTTCTTGACTCAAACATGATGTGGAGCTTCAGTGTTATAAAGTGGCAATTGCTGAGGGTACATTACCCCATAGATACTAATGACAGAGGCCAAATGGTAGAAGAACTTGAATGACAGAGTGAGGACTCTGGGTTTTATTGGGTAGGAAGTCGTTGAGGTCCTCCACAGGGAAGTGCTAGGCCCTCAGTAGCACCTTTGGGAAGATCGCTCTGCAAAAATGCACAGGGCCAATGCACTCAGGAGTGCAGGGAGTGGGGGATGATTACAAAACCATTGAAACATGGATATGTTCTAGAAGGCAGCTGCCAGGGAAACATAGTCAAAGGAAATATACTGCAAAATGACTATGAGTTTCTAGACTTGGTCCACACATATGACCCTAAGCTTCTTAGCAGCCAAAGAAATATGTAATTACAAGAGAAAATAAAATCGTTATTTGGAAAAAAACACAGCTGGAGAAGGACATCCCTTTTTTTTGTTAGGATCAGACAGGAATTTCCTCTGTGTGTCTGATATTTCTACAATAAACACAATAGAGATTCATTTGGCCTTTTCCTACAATGTCCCTCACTGTAGGCTGATAACAAATGAAAAATCACAGTTCTGACAAAAGCAATTATATTGGCTGAAGCAATTCTTTCTAAATAGACAGGCCTCAATGGTGAGGTTTGATCTAAAAGTAAAATACAGACTATCTGAAGGACTGGATTAATGATCTTCTTGTTCACAATGAGGCAGCAGAGAAACAGATTATAATTTCCAGCAACACCTGAGATTTGAAGTTGTGAGCAGACTCAGATACTACTGAGCTAACTACATAGTTAATACTCTGAGAAAATGCAGTCATCCAACCAGTTTTGAGAGGCCCTGCATGGTGCAAAGGGAGCCCTGGTGTCTCAGTGGTTAAAAGCTCAGCTGCCAACCGAAAGGTTGGTGGTTCAAACCCACCAGCTACTCCATGGGAGAAAGATGTGGTGGTCAGCTTCCACAAAGATCACAGCCTTGGAAACCCTATGGGGCAGTTCTACTCTGTCCTTAGGGTCACTATAAGTTGGAATCGACTTGACAGCAATTGATTAGGTTAGGTGGTGCAAATGGTACAACTGAAAGGTTGGAGGTTCAAGTCCACCCAGAGATGCTTCAGAAGAATGACCTGGTGATTTACTGCCAAAGAATCAGCCACTGAAAACCCTATGGAGCACAGTTCTACTTGGACACACATAGGATCACCATGAGTCGGAATTGACTTGACTGTTGGGTTTTTTCTGAACCAGGTTTGATGCTGTACTAAGACTATTAGAATTGAATCCTAGATGTAAAAATACCATGCAGGCTTGATAGTTCCTAAAAAATAAAACAGGACATGTTTCCATTTTTGAACTATAACACTAGAAAAATATATGATATATGGAAGTCACTCAAAAAAATATTTGGTGAAGGAAGGAATGAGCAGAGGAAACTAAGGGAAAGAATTGTTTAAATATTACTAGAATTTAAGGCATAAAAAGATGCATTCAATGTGTCTGTTTCATTTTGTTTCAGAGTCACCAACAACATGACATCAGAAAACCACACAGATGTCTCAGGATTCCTCCTCTTGGGCCTCTCTGAGGATCCAGAATTGCAGCCCTTGCTCTTTGGACTCTTCCTGTCCATGTACCTGGTCACTGTGCTTGGGAATCTGCTCATCATCCTGGCTGTCATCTCTGACCCCCACCTCCACACTCCCATGTACTTCTTCCTCTCCATACTGTCCTTTGTTGACATCTCTTTCACCTCCACCATAGTCCCCAAGATGCTGTTGAATATCCAGACAGAGAACAAAGCCATAAGTTACACAGGCTGCCTTACTCAGGTATTTTTTTTCATAGTTTTTGTATGTATGGACAATTTACTCCTGACTGTGATGGCCTATGACCGGTTTGTGGCCATCTGCCACCCTCTATATTACATGGTCATCATGAACCCCTGCCTCTGTGGCCTGCTGATTCTACTGTCTTTGTTCATTAGCATCATGAATGCCCTGCTCCACAGTCTGATGGTGTTGCGTCTGTCCTTCTGCACAGACCTGGAAATCCCTCACTTCTTCTGCGAACTTGCTCAGATCCTCAAGCTTGCCTGTTCTGATACCCTCATCAATAACATCCTGGTGTATTTAGAGACTAGTCTGTTGGGTGTGGGTCCTCTCTCTGGGATCATTTTCTCTTACATTCGAATTGTCTCCTCCATCCTGAGAATCCCATCAACTGGTGGCAAGTGTAAGTCTTTTTCCATCTGTGGGTCTCACCTCTCTGTTGTTTCCTTGTTCTATGGGACGTGTGTTGGTGTCTACCTTAGCTCTGCGGCTACTCTGTCCTCCAGGAGGAGAGCAGCAGTGGCCTCAGTGATGTACACCATAGTCACTCCCATGATGAACCCCTTTATCTACAGCCTGAGGAACAGGGACATGAAAAGGGCCTTGAGGAAACTTATCTCTGCAATACCTTCCTTTTTGTGGTTGTGTCATCTGCCTTGCATGTGGGCCTCTAGAACAAGTCAAAAGAAATGAAATACTGAGTATGCTGGAGACACTTATGCTTCTATAATTCAATTCTTCCAGCAAAGTAGTTAATACATGGGCTATCAAGTCAAATATCTTTGTGTTGAATCCTGCTTTCCTGTGTCTTACTAAAACCAAAACCAAACTCGTTTCTATCAAGTCAATTCCAACTCATGGTGACTCCATGTGTTACAGAGTAGAACTGTTCCATAGGATTTTCTTGGCTATAATCTATATGGAAGCCGATCATCAGGCCTTTCCTCCATGGTGCTGCTGGGTGAGTTCAAACCACCAACGTTTATATTAGTAGTTGACACAAACTGTTTGCACCACCCATGTATCAAGTAACTTAACTCTCTGAGTTCAGTTTCTACTTCTATACAATAAGCAGAGTCGTATTACATCCTTAATAGTGATATTGGGAATGTTAACTGAGATAATTTAATATATTATACAGTAAACCTGTGAAAGCTGGAACTTGTTTAAGGTGGAAACTTGTCAGAGAAGGAAAACTCAAATATATTCCACAAATAAAGAGCAACAGATAAGTGGTAAACTGTACCCTGTCAAAGATGGAAAACTTGTGAGACCCAGAAAAACAAGGCAACCCCGTTGAGTTCCAGGTCTCTCAGGTTTCACTGTATATATGCAGCAATTTGTCCGTATCACAGACTAGTAAAATTAAATAGGGAGAGAGGTGATATGGAGGAGCTCTCTATACTTTCTCATCAATTTTTCCGTAAGCCTAAAACAGCTCTAAAAATGAATTATTTTAATTAATTTTTAAAAAGTAGATGAATAATTCAGGTGTGCAATTGTCATGTTAGTGAACTTGCAGTTTGCTTCCACATTAATATACTGATTAAACCAACCCTGACTTCACCCTCTCCTCTTTGAGTTATGCTCATTTTCCTCTTTACTTTGTCCTCATTTCTGCTAGAATCTATACAGAGAAATGTATTTGAATGAAGCCATTTGGGATTTCTTATTAACCCACTCGACCTCTTGCCATTGAGTCAATTTCAACTCATAGCGACAAAGTAGGACAGAGTAGAACTTCCCCATACAGTTTCCAAGGAGCGGCTAGTGGATTTGAACTGCCAACCTTTTGGTTAGCAGCTGAGCTCTCAACCATTGCACTACCAGGGTTCCTATTAACCCACAGGGGTTTTATATAGGTGTACTTCTTAATATCCAAATATACGAAGGATCTCTTTTCATCCTTTTGTTATTGATTTTAGCATAGTTGCGTTGTAGTCAGAGAACATAGTCTGTATGATTTTAATTCTTTAAAATTTATTAACACTTGCCTTGTGCTGTTATTGTTTTTGTTGTTAGGTGCCATCGAGTCAATTCCAACTCATAGTGACTTTATGTACCACAGAACGAAACATTGCCCAGTCCCGTGTCCTGCTCGCAATCATTGTTATGCTTGAGCCCATTGTTGCAGCCACTGTGTCAATCCATCTCTTTGAGTGGCTTCCTCTTTTTTGCTGACGCTCTGCTTTAGCAAGCATGATGTCCTTCTCCAGGGACTGATATCTCCTGACAACATGTCCAATGTATGTAAGACATACTCCCGCTGTTCTTGCTTCTAAGGAGCATTCTGGTTGCACTTCTTCCAAGACAGATTTGTTCTTTCTTTTGGCAGTCCATAGTATAGTCAATATTCTTTGCCAACACCACAATTCACAGGCCTCAATTCTTCTTTGGTCTTCCTTATTCTTTGTCCAGCTTTTGCATGCCTATGATGGGATTGAAAATACCATGGCTTGGGTCAGACGAACCTTAGTCTTCAAGGTGACATCTTTGCTTTTCAGTACTTGAAAGAGGCCTTTTGCAGAAGATTTGCCCATTGTAATTCTTCTTTTGATTTCTGGACTGCTGCTTCCATGAGTGTTGATCGTGGATCCAAGTAAAATGCAATCCTTGACAACGTCAATCTTTTCTCTGTTTATCGTGATATTGCTTATTGGTCCAGTTGTGAGGATTTTTGTTTTCTTGATGTTGAGGTGTAATCCATACTGAAGGCTGTGGTCTTTGATCTTCATCAGTAAGTGCTTCAAGTCCTCTTCACTTTCAGCAAGCAAGGTTGTGTCAATCTGCATAACACAGATTGTTAATGAGTCTTCCTCCAAAGCTGACGCCCCATTCTTCTTCATAGAGTCCAGCTTCTCAGATTATTTGCTCAACATACACATTGAATAGGTATGGTGAAAGGATGCAACACTGACACAAACCTTTACTGACTTAAACCATGCAGTATCCCCTTGTTCTGTCCCAACAACTGCCTCTTGATCTATGGACAGGTTCCTCATGAGCACAATTAAGTGTTCCTGAATTCCTATTCTTCTCACTGTTATCCATAATTCGTTATAATCCACACAGTTGAATGTCTTTGCATAGTCAATCAAACACAGGTAAACATCTTTCTGGTATTCTATGCTTTCAGCCAGGATCCCTCTGATATTAGCAATGAAATCTCCAGTTCCACTTCCGCTTCTGAATCCCGCCTGAATTTCTGGCAGTTCCCTGTCGACATACTGCTGCAGCCGCTTTTGAATGATATTCAGCAAAATTTTACTTTTGTGTAATATTAATGATATTATTTGTTAATTTCTGCATTCAGTTGGATCACCTTTCTTGGAAATAGGCATGAATATGGATCTCTTCCAGTTGGTTGGCCAGGTAGTTGTCTTCCAAATTTCTTGGCATAGATGAGTGAGCACTTCCAGTGCTACATCCATTTGTTGAAACATCTCAATTGATATTCCATCAATTCCTGGAGCCTTACCTTCATTGCAGCTTGGACTTCTTCCTTCAGTACCATAGGCTCCTGATCATATGCTACCTCTTGAAACGGATGAACGTCGACCATTTCTTTTTGGTATAATAACTTTGTGTATTCCTTCCACCTTCTTTTGATGCTTCCTGCAGCTTTTAATATTTTCCCCTTAGAATCCTTCACTATTGCAATTCGAAGCTTGAATTTTTTCTTCAGTTCTTTCAGCTTAAGAAATACCAAACATGTTCTTCTCTTTTGGTTTTCTATCTCCATCTCTTTGCACATGTTGTTATAATACTTTACTTTGTCTTCTCACGCTGACCTTTGATATCTTCTGTTCAGTTCTTTTACTTCAACATTTCTTCCTTCTGCTTTAGCTGTTTGACATTCAAGAGCAAGTTTTACAGTCTCTTCTGACATCCATTTTGGTATTTTCTTTCTTTCCTGTCTTTTTAATGACCTCTTGCTTTCTTCATGCATGATGCCCTTGATGTCATTCCACAACTCTTCTGGTTTTGGTCATCAGTGTTCAACGCATCAAATGTGTTCTTGAGATGGTCTCTAAATTCAGGTGCAATATACTCAAGGTCATAGTTTGGCTCTCGTGGACTTGTTCTAATTTTCTTCAGTTTCAACTTGACCTTGCATATGAGCAATTGATAGTCTGTTCCACAGTCAGCCCCTGGCCTTGTTCTGACTGATGGTACTGAGATTTACATCTTCTCTTTCCATAGATGTAGTCATTTTGATTCCTGTGTATTCCATCTGGTGAGGCCCATGTGTATAGTCACCATTTATGTTGGTGAAAAAAAAGTATTTGCAATAAAGAAGTCATTGGTCTTTCAAAATTCTGTCATGCAATCTCTGGCATTGTTTCTATCTCCAAGGCCATATTTCCCAACTACTAATCCTTCTTTGTTTCCAACTTCCAGATTCCCATCACCAGTCATGATCAATGCATCGTGATTGCATGTTTGATCAACTTCAGACTGCAGAAGTTGGTAAAAATCTTCAATTTCTTCATCTTTGACCTTAGTGGTTGCTGTGTAAATTTCAATAATAGTTGTATTAACTGGTCATCCTTGTAGATGTATGATAGTATCCTATCACTGACAGCATTGCACTTCAGGATAGATCTTGAAATGTTCGTTTTGACAATGAATGCAACACCATTCCTCTTCAAGTTGTCATTTCTGGCATAGTAGACAAAATAATTGATTCAAAATGGCCAATACCAGTCCATTTCAGCTCACTGATGCCTAGGATATCGATGTTTATGTGCTCCATTTCATTTTTGACGATTTCCAATTTTCCTAGATTCATTCTTCATACACTACATGTTCCAGTTATTAATGGATGTTTGCAGCTGTTTCTTCTCATTTTGAGTCATGACACGTCAGCAAATGAAGGTCCATAAAGCTTGACTCCATCCATGTCATTAAGGTCAACTCTACTTTCAGGAGGCAGCTCTTCCCCAGTCATCTTTTGAGTGCTTTCCAAACTGAGGGGCTCATCTTCCAGCACTATATCAGACAATGTTTTGCTGCTATTCTTAAGGTTTTCACTGGCTAATTCTTTTCATAAGTAGACTGCCGGGTCCTTCTTCCTCGTCTGTCTTAGTCTGGAAGCTCATCTGAAACCTGTCCGCTTTGGTTGACCCTGCTGATATCTGAATACCGGTGGCATAGCTTCCAGCATCACAGCAACACGCAAGCCCCCACAGTATGACAAACTGACAGATACCTGGGGGGCCTTATGCTGTATATGTGGTCAAACAGTAAAGTTTCTGTTTGCATTGGAAAATAAATGTGTATCCTATGATTATTGGGTGGATTGTTCTATATATGTCCAAAGGGTCAAGTTTGTTTGTTGTTCTTGTTATCTGCTATCATGTCAGGCCCCTACTCATGGCACCCCATGCACAATGGAATGAAATGCTGCCTGGTCCTGTACCATGCCTGAGATTGGTTACAGACTGGACCACTGTGATCCTTAGGGTTTTCACCGGCTGATTTCTGGCATGTTTGTTAATCATCTTCAAATCTTGTTTATTTTTACTAATTTTTATCTGCTTCTTGTATCAGTTGTGGAGCAATATGTGTTAAAATCACTCAGTATGATTTGGAATTTGTCTATTTCTCCTTGTAGTTCAATCAATGTACCATTAAGTGAGTGCAAATTCAGAATTGTTACATCTTTCTGGTGTGTTGAATCTTTTATCTTA